CCGAGGCAGTTAGTGGGTAGAAAAAGGTCAGGGGCGGTCAAAATAAGATATGGCACGAGGATATGAAAATTTTGACCAGGGGAATGGGTCATATAGATACCGTTAGGCTCCCTGGATGGGAACCACGAGATTACGGTAACCGGTGGCTAGAGACACTGAGTGATATGGCTGCGTGTCGCAAATAGTGGAGTTCATGCATCTACTCATTATTCTTGCAACTCGAGTCTATAGAAATTCTATATCTTCTCTTTGACTCTGAAATTCAGCATTCCAAGCTTCATTCTGCTTTTTGCATCCAAATGTGCAGTTAAAAGAAAGCAACCGAATCGGGCGCATGAAGATGCATGGTTAATGGTTGTGAAAATTGAAAATGGAACGTTTGCCAGAGAACTCACAGCACTTGTTCCCACTAGTGATGACACCTTGATTCGTATAAAACCCACAGTGTGCTCTTGTCCCATTCAAAATACACTCACAAGAACCAACCAAATCACTATTCGCCTTCGCCATCTCTCTCACAGAAACACTCTTCTTCTTAAGCGTTCATTATTGTTGTTTCTTTCGAATTTTCTTCCGTCCTCTTTACATAATGCAGTCGACTTATTCACTAAAACGATCAACATGATTAATTTATGCTGCCCTTTCAAAACTCTTTTTGTCTGTATCGGCGGGATAGTATCTATCCTATTGAAATCATTCAGAAGAAAGAAGGAGTGGTTGTAGAAATCTAGAGACTCCGCGGCTGTTTAGCATTTTTTAGTTGCAAGTATTAGGTATTATACCAACCTGATCAAAGCTGAAGTCAAACGCCTCTGTATCGTACGCCACCCAGCTGCTGCAACGTAACCATGGTAAACAAATTTTGCAAATAGCTGTGCATGATCAAAGCAAAAACTCCAGACTGTACAACGGATTTGGACAGTGTCAACGCAGCATTTATCCACCCATCAAGTGATGCCATCAGACCATTTTTTTTCTGGATGATGCCGTTCGAGTAGGGGCCGTTTCAAAAGAAGAAACTTTCAAGATTTTACGTACCATGAGAGACCAAATCCAGTCTTGGTCCTGATGGTCTTTCATCTTCCCTTCTGAGAAGAAACACATATAGAACTCGACGGTGCCCTCTTTAGGAAATATTCTAATTAACAAATAGCAGGTTTTCACAGACACTGTAAAACGTTTTGGGATTCAACATTTTCCACTTCCTCTTTTCCTCGCCGCCCTCTCCAAGTTGTGCGCTTTTAATTGAAATGTAGGCTTTGTGCGTATAGAACATATAGTTATTACTACAATATGGGCATAAAAAGGGACTACAGTGAGGTATTTGGTGGGTTCTGTGGATAACCGTTTGCGTATTCTACCAAGCTCAAGTGAGTAGAGGAATTCTTATTGAAAGCGGTTCCATATGATACACGAAACAAATAAAGGTGACAGTTATGGAAGTAGTAGTAGTAGTATAACATAAAGTGGTATAATATGCTAAACTCGCCATATAAAACAATGCTTGTGTCATGGCGGGAATGGCAAGAAAAATTCCGAGTGAAACGGTGAATACACGAATAAATAATTCATTACGTTGCCAGAAAATTACGAAGTGCAAGCACAAAGAAAGTTAGGCGTGACGCATACCTGAAGTGCTGCTAAATCCTTCTGCTTTTTCGCCGCATTCGCAACATGCCCCACGGATTGTCCATCGACCGGTGCATACTTATTATCTATTCGCTCGAATTTGCCAAACAGACGTCGATAGAGTGGATGACGTTGAGTTTTAATATCATCCGGAGATGGCAGACAGCGACGAATCGCCAATCGATTCTCCGCTCGATACAATGCGACAATGAGATTTTCAGCCGCTTCACGTACCTTGATCGGAAACACAGCCACATCCATACACGGGATAGCATGAGAACAATAAGCGAGCAAAGCAAGACATGCAAATGACTGGCATGGCAACAGAAGAACAATGCGGATTGGTAATTTACATGACACAAAGCGATTTTGACGTGAGCGAAAGTAAAAATATCACCTTATAAAATTCTATTTAACGTCTATATGTATCATATAATCACTTTTGTAAACGAATGCGATTACTCAAACGTCGGTCACATTAGAGATACTGGGCACATTCCTCAATACAATGGAAAGCAACCAATTAAATACAGGCATGTTGGTCACACAAGACAATAAGCTGCTTCAAAATGGGGAATCTCTACAATTTATTTGCCTGTTAGATCATGGTAACAGAATAAAGCCGCAAGGAATACAACCAGTTCGCTTGTTTACTCCAAATAATTCAAATATTAATCTAAACGATTTCGAATGATCGATTTTTCAGTCAGTAATCACATTTGTTTTTTAACATTTTCCGACTCACTTCATTTGATCGATGGGTTAGAGCTTGTGCGGTAAAGAGGATCACTGAGTCCAATGCGAAACCGTTTTGTGATCCAGTGCCAGCGCTCTCTGTGGAAGGTAGTGAACCGGGTTCGACACCTCGAGACGCGTACAAATCGGTAACTAATTCCATACGACTAAGTGCCAGTCTATCTAGAGTAACCGGAGAGAACGGGCGTACTACTTCATTCCAAAATGCCGAACTTTGACGTAGCTGAAGAGTTAGAGGTAGGCAGGGTGGGTGAGAATAAAAATAAGTATCAGGACAAGTTCTAACACCAATATAAGGAACTTCCACAGATGAGGAAAACGACCAACGAAAAATGTATGAATTATGAAAAGTCCAGTAGAGTCGGTGAGATTTAAATCAACCGTCGAATGACACATAGACACCGAGGTCATTGAACTTTTCCTAATTAAAAAGGATATTTCGATCTGTCAAATAACAATTTAAACGAAACAGTTTTGTTGAGGAAACCGGAAAATAACTGTTAAACAAGGCAAGCCTGAGAAAGATCGTCATTCAAAGAGGATTGATCTGGTGTGTTCGTCCACTTCAGGAAACAGACACATCGTCCAAGAAACAACTTTTACATGCTGCATCTAACCCAGGGAACGAATACCGAAAATTTTCAAAATTTTCATACCCTCGTGCCATATCTTATTTTGACCGCCCCTGACCTTTTTCTACCCACTAACTGCCTCGGCAAACATCGCGTGCTGTGTAAACCTATTTGGTGACGTGCGCAACTCCCAACCACCGTAGTCTATGGAGGTCGACTACTTGATCCAGCGGACGAGCTTAATTACCTCAAACTCTGCACCCAACCTCAGCATTGCTCTTCCGGTTACCCCAGCAGACTCGTACAATGCGATGTAGACAGCGGTGTTCGAAAACCGACAATTATTGTTATCCTATTCCTGTAATGGCCAAGTCTCTGCACCGTATGGCAGGAGTGACTGAACTGCTGCAGCATATACTCGATCCTTCACAGACAACGGGATGTCGTGACGGCTCCACAAATATCTCAAGTTGGCAAATGCCAATCGAGCCTTTTGTATGCGCGCCAACATTTCATCTGTGTGTGATGCTCCCACCAGTTGAGATATAGCTGCCCAGATATTAAAATTTGTCTACTTCTTCTACCACTTTCCCAGTTAAACTGAGGTTGGGGACAGGGTCAACCCAATCTTCGAGCAACATTTTACACTTTGAAGGTGCAAACGTATACCAAACATGGCTTCACTAGCACTCAAACTATCCAGGAAAGCAACTTACCTGGATCTTCAATTAGCATCACAATGTCGTCTGCATATTCCAGATCAGACAGTCTACCACGTGGGAGCAAATCAATGCGGCCATCCTCGCACGAGGATAGAGTTGTTTTGAGAATTGAGTCTACGACAGAATCGGAAAGATACAGGGCAACCCTGTCGAACATCACTTTCTGTAGTGAACCAGGGCGAAAAAGTGCCGTGAGCTCGGATTCGACCTCGGCTGTTAGTCTAAGATGATCGACAATTTGAAATTGACTTCTCGGGTACCCTTCAGAACGAGGAAGTATTAGAGTGTATGTTATTATTTCAACACGTCACCAGTCACACAGAACTGGCAAATGTGCCCAAAAAGGTTATCAAAAGTCTGTTCATAGGTTGTGTGAGCATGTTACTTCCCGGTTGCCCTGACCGAGGAAGGGGAATACCGTCTGCGTCCCCACCCGGAGCCTTTGGTTAAAAAGCCTGGAAGACGACCGGATGAAGTTCAGAGTCTGCAGTCCATTTCGAGGCCGGTGTCCAGTTCACTGGATTATACGCCCTTTGGACGGGGTCCAAAGTGCAAGCTGCCAGTACACCTTGATGCCCAGTCGACCACTGCCACAACCAGAAAGATGTATGTGTAGTTTGTACACTTCTTCTTGTTTGGTTTGGAATCGGTGTTTTCGGCTACCACCCCTAGGTGAACTGCCAGTGGTTCACCAACCCCATTATAGCCTCGGATGTTGGTTTTTCGTCATCTCCTCGTTCCCCTCCGTGACGGGAAAGCAGTGAGTAGGGCTTCCCCAGCAGAGGCTATTTGAGACACTTGGTCATATTGGACCATTTCGTGACATGTAAGGGAGTGGTGACCAGTCACAACCCAAGACACCCACCCCGACGATTTAAGAGTATAGTGCGTTCGACTGAGTCGAAAGCCGCTTTCAGATTGAGGAAGATAGAAATGCTGGGTCTACGAAAAGTGTCTGTGTTCTAGAATTTGACGAAGAGTGAAGATGTGGTCGATACAGCCTCAACCAGGTCTGAAACCAGCCTGGCTCTCATGCGTGCACTCTTCATGTGCGGCAGACAACCGACGGAGTATAATACCAACGAGAATTTTAGAGACGATGCTGATTAAATTAATTCCTCTTTGGTTTTCACAAAAGATAATTGGGATGATTGTTGAATCTGTTTGCGACTCTCCACACGTTCCACCCACAAATCTGTCTAGTCACCTCTCCCTCAAGTGTCATTGTATTGACGCGTACGTATTATCGATCATCAGATATGCACCTATCGTCCGTTCCATTTCTTCATTCGCCCACCAGACTCGGCTACCCCCCCCCCCCCCCTCCCTCTTTCTCGTGACCGTTGTCCCTGACCTTGATTTGGTCTGACTCACCCTGCCCTATTACTATCCTGTGGAGTTATTCTGATTGGTCCTCTGTCTCACCCATGCGTCACCCTGTCCCAGTGCGCTTTGACGTCATTTCACTTATCGCCTGTTCGTTTGACGGAGTGGTGAACTCGCTCGTTTTCATCTTGGTTCTCGATTGGCATTGTTTATTTCGCCTGTTCAGGCGTACACCCTGGGAACGCCACGATTTGAGGTGTGTTGTTTATGTAATTGTAACACTTAATATTTTCTTATTCACTATTGTTCGAGCCGAATAAACCTCTAGAACACTTGGACTTGGCTTCTGAAGTTGCGCGTCACTCAACGTTGGCCTGGATAGTCATTTGGATCTAACAATGATTGGTTTCCCACGTAACCTGCATTTCAGATGGAGGTTTGATGTCAACTGGCAGTGTTTGCCCAGTTGAAGTACGCAGAGGTCTTGTGTTCACGAGGACCAGATGAACTGTGCTTTAAAATGTTCTGCCCAACATTCGAGGCGGTGCTGAATGTTAATCAGTGTGCCCTGGCACTCCTTAATTATCTCACTTACGCCTATTTTCCTTGAACCCGTACTTCCGATTAAACGAAAACAATTGTGATTGTTACCGATAGACGCAACCTTCGCCATCTCTCTGCACTTCCCTGACCTCCACTTCCCGCGGTCATTACTCAAATTATTGATGAGCTGTCGTTTAAGGGATTTGCGCGCTTTGTCGAATTTTTCATAAGAAGGAATAGCTTCACCAGGGTCCGATATGACAGCCGAGGTCCCTCGAATTAGGCCCAATCCTTCTTCATCTTGTGCTTTATCATTTAATTCGTGAACATTGTGAGTTTGGCAGTGATCATTGAAGTTCGCTTTACTATATCTCGCTGTACGATGAAGAGTGAGAAGTTCATTGTCTTTGTTTTGATCGTGCTCCCGAATCCGTTGTTATTTTGATTGACATCCGGATCGCTTTCTTGGTTGCCGCCCACTGAGTCACTGAGTCCTTCGGCTGATGGTTGAGCTGAAAGATGGTCAGAGAGCTCCGTTTCGAATGTCTATTTGCAATTATCGCTGATATAATATTGTGATCATTCATTTCCGGTGGCTTCTCTGTGGTTGTTTACAAGAAGTAGGTAGAATCTGGCTCGTAGCGGTGCATGTTCCATAGCAAAATGTTCTGCGTGATTAGTAATTACCCTGTCTAAAAAGGAATCCCCTCTTGTCGGAGATGGACAAATATCAATTAGGCCGAAAGAGGTTAAACGATGAGTTGATGCNNAACGAAGGATGAAATGCGAGGATGGGTACAAAACGGGGCTATGCATTATTTGATAATGATTGTGCTTCTGTGTCCCGAAAATCTGTTGGAATATTGAAAAGCTAAACAGTCGATACGATCGACGGAATAATTGAAAAGAACGTCAGACTTGCCACTCCAAGGAGAATTGATCTAGGTGACCACTCCACTTGCTGTTTTCATTTGAGTAGCAATCCTAAAATGAACCCACAAGGTCATAAAAGGCACTATGGAGCAAATGATGCTTGAAACTGATCAACTTTAACCGTCAATAAACTCTCGATCGATCATTATATAATACTCATTACGCGCGAAGGACGCGGTATATCGTATTGCGCAATGCACCTTCTTAACCTATGAATATATAGTTGAAGCCAATCCTTTCTGAGCAGTGGTCGTTACAGGTAACCGTAAAGACATACTATTGGTGTTTGAATACATCCGCCTTTCATGAATATGGATTGGAAACTCTGGCTTGACTCAGAGTGTTCTGTAATCGCCGCCACGCACTGAATTATTAGCCGATTGATCCCTTCACATTGCGCTGATTGAACCTTGTGTTTTGCATGTCCCACACACAGGATTTGTCGGCCTTTAATGTTTTCCGAGGCACTGAATGATAATGGGAAGATTATCCGTAGTCACATTAATAGAAATAATGAGTATATGAAACCCCTGACCAGTGACCTTGAAACACAGGCCACACTCGGCTTCCTGATCTAGGGTCCCGAGGTTAATCTAATCGTTATTCAGGGATACTGAATAAAATAAGTGTATGTCGTAAGTAGTCGCCCTCATGCACCTACTCACTGTCCTCGCCCATCTAGTTTGTCTCCGTTCTGCCTCTTCATATTGATGCTCCTGTCAGCTGTTTACTCTTTCGTTTTCGTCGCTTCTTCATCGTTCCACCAAACAGGCAAAAAGAAACAACCTAATAAGATGCACAAAATAGCTAGGTTGATAGTTGTGCTCGCTGAAAATGACCAACGAATTTCAGAGCGTACAAATTCACTTCCCATTCCCAAGTGCTGCCACGTTTTTGATAGATAAAAGAATCAGTTTATGACCAGATTGTAGTCGGCCACGAACATATGGCTCTCCAACCCCGCTACTTACCCAGATTCAGTATTCGTCCTCCCCCTTGCTCCTATTCTTTCATGGATAGTTTGCTACAAAAATGTACGGAGACAGGCGAAGAATTTCTTGATGACTGAAAGATCGGGGATGGCCAGCATACTCTTCTTTGCTATGTTCTCTGAAAACCTTATGACGCCTTGTGGCTGATACAAAAGAACGTATTCTTCCACATCATATGAGTGTCTACCTACCGGTGATTTCTGTCGTGAGTATGACAGGTCATCTGGCCAAAGATGTTCGCAATCATATCTCCTCACATCGGCTAAGTAGTCGGGAACCTGGATGAAGCGTTTCGCTGCAAATCATCTCACCCTCTGACCACTAGGGTAGGAATTGCTTTATAAAAACAAATGGATTAGTGCTACCTTTCGGCTCCATTGCTCCGAAAACGAGAAGTCCATGGAGATTACGGCTTTACCAATCTTAAGTTTCATGTTGAAAGACAAAAGGCGTGGATGATTAATATCTCATTACCTTACTATCATCAATTGTCGGCGTGTGACATTAAAGGTATTCTCAGGGAACTGATCACTTTTTACTACTACCTCAAAGTTATTGCTATAATCAAGATGCATTAGAATTGCAAGAGAGCTTCATTTCTCAACTGAATCATATCTGTATCAGTGTGGCCTCGTAGTTCACCTGGTAGAGTGTACGCTGTACAAAAACGTAGGCGGCGTCCATGCGTGGGTTCCAATCTGATCGTGGCTACTCAACTTTTCACAACATCAACATAAGATTTCAAACTGCCTAACACCGATTGGAACAGATCTGTCAAGCTTTCTTTAGGCGTCCTGGTCATAGTTGTATAGAAGTTAAAACAGATGGAACTATTGTCGTCTTATTGTAATCAAACAATTCTCGAACGGATCAGCCAGACTGATGCGAATGCTGAAACAGCTTAGGTGGAATTCAAACTTTGAAATCGACGGACATTTACACATAACTCCATTCAGTCGGTCATATTCGTCGATATCTGCGTCTTCACTCTGACAGTTGCACTTCCCAAACCAACTCGTGATATCATTTGACACACACGAAGTCACTACTCCGTTCTCTGCTATGATTGTCGGTGTTCGATCACCGCTGTCTACGTAGCATTGCACGTGTCTGGTGAGATAACCGGACTAGCAATGCTGAGGTTAGGCGTAGAGTTTTAGGCAGTCGCGGTCGTCCACTGGAACAAGTGATCGACCTCCATAGATTACGCTGGTTGGGATATGTGCTACGCATGTCACCAGATAGGTTGCCACGGCGAACGATGATTGCCAAGGCCGGTAGCGATTGGAAAAAAACAAAGGGCGGTTAAGCTAAGACCTAGCATGAGGGTATGAAAACCCTAACCAGGAGACTAGGTCACATAGGCCCCGTTAGGCTCCCTGGCTGGGGACCTCGGGATGATGGTCACCGATGGTTAGCTACACTGAGTGATATGGCTGGGTGTCGCAAACAGTGGCGCTCGTGCATCCACTCGTTATTTTCCTAGTACCACTGTATATGTATTCCCCATCTTCCGCTTGAATTTGCTTGGACATTCCAATCTTCATTTCGCTGTTTTATCCAAATGGGCAACCAAAACCGGCGCACGAAAGTGCATGGTTAATGGTTGTAAAACTCTCTCTCTCTCTAACTCTCTCTGCTGTGATCTCTATACCGTTTGTTATGTGATTGCTTTGTTGATTTTTATAGTGCCTTGCTTCAGTAAACTACATAGATTGTCCCTCAACGAGAATAGATCACCGGAATAGAAAGATTGAATTAAAAAGAACTGTTTTCAGTGAGGTTTAGAATCTCTTTGTTGTTCGAGTTCGTGTTTTCTCAGTTTGTTAGTGAGTTTGGAAAAGACAGCAAAATTTTAAGCAACTTCGTCACTGAATTCAGTTACAAGAAACTGAGAACCATATACTCACCGATCTGAAATTTAGGATAAAATACCATTAAACTCTATTAGCTACGGTTATTTCAACTTCTCCGTTCATGGTCTGACTTATTGTTTTCGGCATCTCCATTTGGTGTTTCATCATTTCTTTCGGAAATACTATTTCGATACTGGGTTGTGCAATAAGAATCGTCCATTCATGCTCGTGGCATAAAAGTCGCATCTGGACTTTGATTGCACCAATTTGAACATTTACCAGCTCTAAGAATTTCCGCCTCATTTGCAGATGTTACTAAGCAAACGCTCATGAAAAGCACCGCGGTGAACCACACCCAAACACATGGGGTACCAAGCGATCAGGATTAGAGCAAACAACGAACTTCTAAGCTGAGAGGGACAGGCTAGTAATCAGTTGGTTTATGTTGAGGAAGGGATACACATGTGTGATAGCATTCAGCTTATCTCTGCTAAACGTTCCTTACGTACTACGTACTGCAATTGGTTTAAGGCGATCGACGTTTATCGTCGCGGACAATCGGCGACGTCCCATTTAGTTTCATTTCATTTTTCACACATATTTTAAGGCATTTCATTCGAAACCAATGGCAGTGCTATCTGGATTATGGACAGGTGTGTTAGGTCAAATCAGATGATGTCAGTACGTCCCTATTAAGTTATTTTACCGGTGATTTCGACACTGACGCTCAGAAATGATTTTCACAGGAAGGGGGAAAAAATCAGTGATCACTACAGTCGAAACTGAAAACGGAATCCGTGGGGAATATTGATCACTCCTGCTGAGGTCGCTATCGCGCGTGTTTGGCTGGCAAAGCTTTCGGTCACATGGGTCCATGTGTATTTGCTGATTCGTCTCTGTGCTCCTGATTGCGGAAATCTGATTAAGTTCTTGTGCGGTCGCTGGAATCAAGATTCATCTTTTACTCACAGAGCTTATTATGAGTGTCATCTTTTTCTCATTGTCAATGAAAGTTTGCGTCTAAAACAAAATTTCTATCTGGAGAAACGAATGGTTTGACCTGTTACGCCGAGAGCCAAAGGAATTGTTGATTTATATTGGTAACGGGTATTTTGCTCATACCGCTTCCATACCAATGCCTTCAACCGCATATCAGTCCGACGGTAGTAAACTTCGTGATGAGCCAAGCAAATCGTGCACAGTCGGTTCAGCCTAGTGCGGTTTTATCAGCAATGCGAATCCATTGACCCAAGTGAGAATCCGACTGGAGACCTTGCAAGTAGCTGTCGGGCGTTCAAATGGATAGTGTGCTTGTTTTCTGCCTGTGAGGTTTCGAGGTCGATCCTCAGTTTTGATTAGTAATTGGCAAATCGATAAGTGTTCCGTGCTGACGAATCTCGCTCAGGTAGGAATGAATGATCAACATACGTTGAACCTAAACATATCTGGTAAGAACGCTAATTGAAATAAATGTAGTAGTGACTAACTCGGTTCTTCCCCAAAACAAAAATGTATGATTTAGGCAAATGTTATCAGTGTTTTGAAGGCATACACTACTATTCTGCAACAATCCTGAATTGTCATTGATATCATTCATTTGTGAGGTTTCAGAGTACCATTAGACAAACAGAGTTTCATTTTGGCCCTCAGGTCAGAACTCAAAGCGCTGGAGGAACCTTTGAATCTAGTCATGTTTTTGTGAACACTACAGCTTTGACTTTTCACATCACAAGTTTTCCTTCAGATGTATTTCTGCATCAGTTAGTGTGATCTCAACGATCACTCACAGTGTTCTCCGTTTAATCTTCATTCGAGTTTCCCTGGAAGATATCAACAATTCATCTTGCGTGCTTTTTCTTCTTTTGTGAGAACTAAAGTTAAAAGGATCACCGTAAATGCAATTGGTAAACGGACAAAACTTCGTGTATCTAGCAAAAACTCTTACGTCAATCCCGTTCAATCAGCCATAATTTCCATTACGGAATGGTCTGATGGTGTTAATCTTTTCCTAAGCCAAATGCATTGAAGTGTTGTTTTACCCTAACCGTAAGCAATTCAGACATTCCGGATCACTCGTCCCGAACATCTCGGTCATAACCCGAACAGTTATAACGTTCAGCATTTCAAATCCCTTTTAGGTTTTCTGTCTGCTGTCCTTGAATGGTCCCCACCGCGTGCAATAAACATTTCCTAAACGCAGTAAACTAACGTTTTACGTCCCACGTCTTTCGCATCCGAGGGTACCATTTAATGTGTATTCTAAATTTAGTTCCTCTCATGTTTGATTTCATTAATATCACTGTTCCCCTGATATCTTCCCCAGTCTGCTGCCTAAGGATTTCACACTGATTTCACCCCCTTTCAAAAGCATCTCTAGGTTGGAAGTGGTTCTCTATGTGGCGCTGGTCGACTCCGTTATCAACCATCATCTTAAAGTATGTGACTGTTTGTTCGACTCGATCCTGGATGATGCACCACATCCGCCACACGTCCGTAACGGGCGAACCGAGTTCGTTCTTGACTTCATCTGACTAGAATAAAGTGATCTTGGTTAGCATTCATTTATGTGCCAAGTTTATTTCAGCGCCCTCGCTCAGATAGGATTAGGAGAGACAATAATACAAGCTCATTGCGTGGCAATTGTGAGTTTTTAGATGAAATCCGAGTGCGTGAGTCACGAGCTGCATCGTTAGAGCTAGATTTGGTGTGCACGAAATGAGTGAGATTTCTAAGAAATAAATTATAACCTAATTTTGGGTAGACACGATCCCAACGTCTCACTGGAAGTCCACGTACCTGCTACTTAGTGCTTCACTGAGCCTTCGATGGTTTGCTGATTCGCGTTGATAGAGCTGCGCTATCGAATGAGAGTAGCTATCTCCAGCGTATTAAACGGTGGTAGGCTTCAAGTTAAAGCTTAATCACTAGAATATATATGTTTTGGGAATACACTCTACTTGACCTGTAATTTTCCTGTATCTCGTGCGTCCAGGATATATATATATATATATATATCCAAGAAGAGGCGTACGGACCACATTCACCTTCCCGGCTTTGCCTGACCCACAAGGCAGCGGACGGTGTGTTAACTCCGCAATCCATTGCGGGCCGGTTTCCAGTTCACCGAACCATACATCCTTTGGACGGGGTCCAAAGTCCAAGGTGTCCAGTACACCTCGATGCCCAATCGAGCCAGTGATCACTGCCACAACCGGAAAGATGTGCGTGGTTCATGCGACTCTTCTTGGTTGGTTTGCAATCAGGGTTTTTTGGCCAACACCTCTAGGTGAACTACCAGTGGTCCACCAACCCGGATGTCGGCTTTTCGTCCTCTCACGTTGGTGGGAAAACACCTTTACCACGAGAATGTAGCGAGTAGGGCTTCCTCAGCAGAGGCTATTCGAGACGCTTGGTCGTATGGGAGCATTTCGTGAGGTGCAAGGGAAGGGTGACAAGCCGCAGCCCTAGACACCCACCCCCGACCATACTCAGGATGATTTCTTACATTTTCCACTTGTAGCTGGTTTTCACTGACTGTCTATCTTTCACTCACTTTAAGGCTCAAATACAAACGCTATGGAAGGTGTACTCTTTTTGAAAATCTGATGCAATTTGTTCATTTTTGGGGATTTCGCTGTAGTTGGAGTTCCACTATGACGGTTTTCCTCACATGTGTTGTGTAACAGTGAATTGGACATGTAATATGGGCAAATAGGTTTCCTAAAATCTTAGAAAGAATATTGAATTGCGTGAAGTGATCATAAATATTTTCTTACTCTCTTCCCATCCGAACTTCATTGTTTGTCGTTCAATGTCTTTCACAGCTTGTGGCTATTTCGCATTATATCCGTCAATGTGAATAGGATTATGCGTGTATCAGTATTTCTGCAACCCCTAAATAGCCATCATGAAGGACCTGCAACTTCCGAAGCGCCTTGTTCTAGTCCAACCGTAGCCCGAGCAGGATTGAGATTTCTACGAATGTTCTGTGGACCGTCGTTGAGAACGTTAAGCGACGGGTAACAGAATGTGAACCTCGAAATCAAAACGATATTAATCCACAATGCATACTACTCGGTTGATTTCAGTTTAACGAACCAAAGACAACGTACCTCTGTCGTTATGCAGCCAAAAGGAGATTCGTACAATCGATCAATGACCTGGAGAGAAAAGGAAACAAATAAATTCACAAGGAGGAAAAAATATCTGTAGTCAAACAAGTTGTTCTGCTCTCTGCTGTTAACAGTCAACGTGAATTCAGTTAGATGGACGAGAACTCCTTTACCAGAGGCAGCGATTCTGCTCACCAACTTTGCACTGTCAAAGTTCGATATCAGAAAGTACACCCAGACGGTCGCTCATGAATGAGCCTACACGCCAGGGCAAGGCGTATATAGAGGACTGGGGCAGGGAAACAACAAAGCAACTTAAACGTCGAGAACAGTCATTGGTGCTATAATAGATCTACAAATGGGGTAAACAGATAGATAAGGGTAACAGTCATCAAAAAATCGTACTCTGTAACCGATACGCGGAGTCACGCGAGGAGCTAAGGTCAAAATTAGATGTCTCTTAATGGGATGCATACACGAAGGGTCAATAATAGTGGACTTGAACGATACAGATGAATTACCAGAAACACGTAAGCACTAAATATGACATGGAGAAGCGCAGGGTAATGGAGAGAGGGAGATAGACAATAAGAGCCACTCATTTGACCCTAGAGAGTTTTTTTCAACTTAATGCATACGAAGTATAAATCTTATCACTGCTAGCTTCAGGCTACCAATCAATCTATGGTATCGACCTTAATTACTGAGTTTATCTGCTATAGTAAATCAGTAATATCCAGTACACTAGAGTCGAATATACTGTTACACCATGCGTCACCAACATCTGTTTTATTTTATTTTGTGACTTCTAATAATTCGAATATATAGATATATATATATATGTATATATATATATATATATATATATATAGAGCGAGAGAGAGGCATGGGTGCGCCAGCAACTTTTCAGCGGATCTTAAAATGATGTGTACTCGGGGTTTTTTTTCNTTTTTTTCAGGCCGAAGTACAGCAAGTTCGAGCCTTGGTTCACGCTGGCCCGAATAGCTCCAATCCAGCTGGCCCCTCACGTTCGCGACCATCTAAATCGGACTCATCCAAACTGCGTCGTGCTGTTGTTCAACGTGCTTCTCCCAGTCCCGGTGCACTCACGAATACTTCTCCCCGATCAGGTACGGGTGCAGCGCGAGCCAAGTCGACGACAACGGTGAGCGCAGTACCTGGAAAGCCCAACGATCGCAGTCCCGGACGAGTGTCATATCGTGGGTCTGAAGCTCCACGTGTAACGGATTGGACCAGTACGGGCCAACTGACGAGTGAAGCTGAACTATTGCTTAGCTTGGATAAAACATGCATTTTCTGTGGGGAGCGCAACGAGCTATTTACCGAAGAAGGTTTGGATTTGCATTATTGGAAAGATTGTCCAATGTTGCATCGCTGTGCCAACTGTAAACAGGTCAGCCTTCCATTTATATGTATAGTCCATCAGTGGCTAATTCGCTCTTCTCTGATATTAGAAATAAGTATGTCAGTTCCAGGAACTGCTACAGACCAGCTCAGTCGATAGCATTTGATTTAAAAAATGTCAAAAACTCTTCAAAAGTTCATGGTATGTATTTATATACACGAATGATAGAAACTGTCTCCTTTTCTTTGGTCACTGCCATCGTTCCATTAGGGATAAATACTAACTTTTTGTGTAGACGTGACGTTTCAATGAAATTGAAATCCTTTATGATGACCGCCGCCTTACATCGGAGAAAAATGTATTGTGCATTTTGACGTTTTGTAGTTAGTAGTGTACAAAATTTCTTACCTTTCGTTACCGAACTTTTCCAATCCAGCTATCGAATTTCAATCCAAAATGTGATCTTATTCGATTGCAATGGGGCATGCCATCGCTTCTCTATTCTAGTGGTGAATATGGAAAAAAACATTGGAGCAACCTTATTATGTAGCGTTTCATATTCATCGATTGACCACCTAATGCTTCGTGGTTATTTTTCGCGATGCTGGTGGCTGGGTCATTTAGGCAGGGTTTTTATTCCGGGAGCACGATGTATGCCTTCTGTGTATTCAAACATTAGAATATCATCTGAACTTGTCCCAGTACCATTTCAGATGCTATGCGTCCTGTACGAGAACGAAAAGCACGATGCATCTTTGTCAATGGCGGCAGTGGAAACATCCATATCGTTGGTGCCATTTTTGAGTGCCTTCTGATGATATATTCGCTAGAATGGGATTGGTTTACAAAAAACAGTTGTTTTCAAGAGAATGGCGGATGCGGTTCATGGCGGGATGTGTTCAAGCTGCTCACGACGGTTCGACGTCATATAATGACCAGCACTTTTCTAGAACCCGGATAAAGAAAAACAGTGCCATGTGGTTGCAGTATAGTTTCAGCTTGGGAAAACCAAATAGGTTGTGTTTCTATTGGCGTGATATTGGAAGGAATGAAGCCTTATTCGATAGACAACGGAATGACAAATACTTGGTTACGGTCTAAAATACAATTTTCTCAGTTGATTTGTGTCCTTTAGTGGATAACATAGGAATAATTTATGCCTCTTTTAGATGCATTGCCATTACATATAACGAGGTTTGATCGCATATACCATGTTTTAAGTATTAGTGTTTACAACCGTTTACCATGTACTTTGAGGGTGCAAAACACGAGCCGAACATGACTGCACGAGCACCTAAACCAAACAGAAAGACGTTCAAGTTACCAAAACCATCACTTAGTAGTTCTATGGATTTATCGCCGTTTTTGAATTGCCCCAGAAACTGTTGATGATCGCATTTCTTCAGTTATGCTCCTATAAAGCAGTAACGGCACTCATTCTTCGAACTTGTCTTCAGCGAGTTTTCGTCCTTTGATGCTCGGCCACCACCGCTTCTCGGTTGCTGGAAAAGCAGCTTTACTACGTGAAGCTAGAACACAGGGCCTCCTCACCAGATTGTTTGACATTTTTGGTCATTTTGGCTTGTTAGACTCACCATTCACACACAATCCGAAGCACACGCCTTGGTCATCCTGACATTTTTGATGGCATCATCAACGCTAACCTGTCACCCTATCCAGTCTTGCTTCTTTCTGTCTCATCCATTCAGCGGTCATCAATTTCGATCCAGCAGATGCATCTCTACTGTATTGCTCAAACTTCACCTAAAGTCGCATATTAGTGGCCAATTAGTTGTGTGTGCTGGGCTGAACAATGAATCAATCCATCTGAGGAACTTTAATTTTGGTTATTCAAGCATGATTGAACGGGGCCTTTTTGGCGTTCATATCTGAGAGTGCTATGATAATACACATTAAAGGTTCGGTTCTGTCCTGGGGGAGGCATCTACACGATGAGGTATGATCTTTTTTTATTGTAGAGTTAATTTTTGTATCGTGTTTTGCAACGGTAAGGATTAAGTTTGCTAAAAGCAGCTCTCATCGTATCTTTTCCTGCAGGTGGTAGAAATTGCTGGAATGGTGGAGCATTTATTGCATGAATGTGAAGCTGCACCCCCGGGACACTATGTTCGTTGTTCACGGTGCTCCGAGGCGATACTGCATTCGGAAATAGACACACATCCTTGTTTTCCTACCGTAGCCGTTGGAGCGCAACTTGAATCCCATATCCGTTGTCCGCTCTGTCATACTGACCTTCCTCTTGTGTGTCCGGGCACGGCGACTAGCAATGCAATCGCACCTGGCGGTCCGGAAGACGTTTGGAAATCACATTTATTGGGCGGTGACCAGTCCGAACTGCCGCAATGTACACACAATCCTCGGCGTCCAGCACGAACGCAACAACAGGCTATACATATCACTACAAATTCGAACAAATCCTCAAATGTGTTGTCCAAGCCAACCCGATTGTCCACATCTCCCCGCCCAACCGCGAATAGGCGCTCTCCCCCGCCAAAATTGGCTGCCGGACCAACAGGATCCACAAAACATCCGGGTGATTACTTGATTATATTGTGTACATGTATATATCTTATTCCTGTATACGGTTTTGGCTTCCACTTACTATTCGGATAATTGTAGTTAATTAACTATTCCTTACGTGCACTTGACCTCAGTTTCTGAAGTCGAACCCCGTAGCTGCTGTCAAAGTTTGTTTACTCGGGCTTGTACGAAGCCCGTACCTTTTAATTTGGGTTCTTCTGCACTGCGATTTGGAGTTCTTGGATCTTCGGTTGTTGTACAGTTTTATTCTGGTGGAAATCATAAGGAGGCGGAGATTCTTTCCTCGGTATTTGCAGAAGTTTGTGATGTATGGTGGAACGGAGGTCATAGATTGCGACTGCTCGTCTTTTTGCTACGGTCCTCAGTACAGTTACCAGTACTGTACGACAGAACCCAGAGTCACCAGGATGTACTGGTCGGTTGTATGGTCACAATCTAAGTTCCAGTACATGTGACACAAAGCCACATTTGGCCGTCGTACAGGGTCTTTTCTTGACGTCCTCTTTCNCGTATGGTTTTATACAGTTTATAACCTCGCGATACACTAGTGTCCTCATACTCGTTTATATTGTAGTCGTTTGAAAGTCGGGTCCATTTTCTCTGACAAGGCCTGTCGAGATATTCGACGTTGAACTAATAGACCTGAATCACTTCATAACAAATCCTAAATTGGACTCCTGAATGCTCTCGAGCCGTCAATGCACTACAACATCCAGTCACCCCTGAGAAGTCGCATTTTCCAATATCTTTCCAGTTTTTTGGAGAACCCAATAAAACCGTACGCGTAATAACGTAGTTTCTGACTATACAATGTCGCCCCCTCAGCATGTTGCAGTTCCTGATACCTAATCACTTGGTCATTGACCGATGTTCTCGACGGCCATTGACCAACTAACCTGCAATGTCGCACTCAGCCAATGGCGTTCCAACTAGTGCGTTGCGAATATGACACTGTTCACTGATTGGATAATCTTTGCGGGGAAGACACACCGATGACAGTATCACTTAACTTCAAAATGTGCCAGCGCCTGTCGATCAGTGTGTTGGGAATGCGGAACCAGCCAGGTGCAACTCAGAGCTCCGTAGCCGAATCACTTAGTATTTCACGAAAAACAGTTTACGGTATGTAAGACATCCTTTTTCCTTTATCCAATTCATCAACAGAAGAAGACATATGTGGGCAGAATTGATATTGGCCATCAATTTCGCGTGTTCTCATTTAGCTGTGAAAGCACATTTGTATGATCATGTAAAACGAAGAAACAAGATTTGAATGAGTCATTTGAACAATATGGTGGACAAATAGATTGCTTGATTTGTGTTTGATTAACGGTTGAGGTTAAGTTAGATGACAAAAGTTCGCTTCCATATCAAATTTGGTCTTTTAAATGTTCGTTTCCAAACATTTATTGGAATATGTTTTCTCTGATTAAAGATGAGCAACTGAGCATGAAATCCTCGTAGGCATGCATCTGGTCAAAAAAGCTTGGGTACATGTGCATTCGACCGCCTTTATAAATACTGGGCTCAAACCAACATTTAATCAGCCGATGATGCAGCCACCGGAGGATAAATGTTATCTGATTGAAAACTTTGAGTCTATTGATGAGAGCCTTTTGGAAGAAAAAATTGCCTGTTTAAAATTCGATATAGAGAAGTGGGTTAAAAATTTTGCATCAAGATTCTTGTTTAGTCAGCACATGAACTCTTTTCAAATCAAGCTAAGCGTCGGAAAGAAGATGAATGTGAAACAGTGAATGCGCCGGAAATTATCTTATTTAGAGAAGCACGGGATCAATTGAAGCTGTTTGCTTTGGCTGATGCTTGTGTTTCGGGTCGATTATTGGATTGTGCAATTGATTTAAACAGTGCGTTTGCTGGTTTCCAAAGGGAGCCAAGCTGAAACAAACGAGGATTTACGATTGCTAAAAGTTTTTTTCTGCCATTCTATGAGGTCACTTGAATGTGGTCATTTTTGTTGCAGTGGTCATCAAAGCCACGGCCATCCGGTCGATGAGCTCTGTCGCACTAACGAGTGAACGCAAACGAGTGAACGATATTCGCGATTGACTGATAAAAGGGTGTGGGGAGTGAGATGTCAGATCCAGGAGATCGGTAACAGCCGATGCACTTGTGTGAATGAATGAACGATGGTCACACTTGTCCTCGCACCGATGAAGCTAGACAGGTCATTAGCCAAAGGTCATCATAACTCGGGTCGGACGTTCCCATGACTGTTTGAACGATTCACTGCTAATCTGAATCACATGTTGAACTTAATCGGTCGGTTAGGTTTAGCGACACTGGCCTTACGGTTTGAACGTACACCGCCAACAACAAAGACAAACGAACGAATGTCATCAGGGCCAGTGCTATGCATTTTTCACATAGCACAGCGAACAATCAGTTTGAAATAGGAGAAAGAAGTCAATGTACCAAATAGACCTGGTAACAGATATTTCATTTATTTTACATGACGTGAATTCCTTCGAATGTGATTGTTTGTCCCGTGTTCTCACTGCGTTCGACCTGGTTCATCCTTGTTTTCATCGAATGGGTCAACATTGATGTTTAGATTATTACAGCTAAACAGTTGTATATTATGGTGGACACCATATACTCTTTTCCGTAGTTAGCCTAGCATTGCAAAGGAATGAAGGAATATCTGGAATTAATATGCGGTAATGACGTTAGAAAAAAATCCCCTGAAAAAACGTAATTTCTGGATAACTAACTTGATACTGAAAAAGTGCTGAATACCGGATGCAATGTACTAATTTAGGCTGAGGGCATCATAAAACATTCTAATTTCTTCGATACTCAGGACAGTATATCTTAATTTCCGTTATAACTCAACAGTACGGAATTAAAAACATTGAAAAAAAGCAACGGAATTAACATACTTTTCATCGATTCGGTTTATTTTGTCACGAAACTCCCAACCGATTTTTCATGCTACTTAATGACATATACTACTGACTAACATACTGGTATAGTTCCTCGAGTTAACCTACTTTATCTAATTTCCAAGAGGTTAGACATAGAAGGAGATTCACTGCAACTATTTACTGCTGTTCGATCAAAATAACGTGGCACGTAGAAACTTTGAACGAAAAATAACATACTCAAGTTTCCAAAATATCTTAGTTTGGGAGCAACCAAAAGAGGGCTACTTTTAAATACTGCCGGTCTTCGAAAAACAGACGTAATGAGCATTTTGTTTGACAGACATATATCGCTCAAATTGATTCGCTGGAATTGGCAAGCTGCGTAATAAGTGGACTTTAAAACTATCCGAAGGTGGGTAAATGTATTTGGTCAGTACACCGGTGAGCAGACAAAAGCGTCAACGTGTAAGCAGGACTCAAGGCCGAATCCATCAGCAACTCCCTAAATTAAGTGAAATCAGAGTGGAACGAACCGGCGGACCCTAGCGGACATTCTAATAATGAAATCTGATTTGCTGAAACTAATCGATCTTCGTTGCGTGACGTGTCTGCGTGTGGTAGCATACATTACCGGCCAATCAATCGATATTGTGCAGTAAAATTTTCAATCAATTGAACAGCACATTTGGATGGTTCTCCTCTGGTCTTCGTTGTACGGGCATTGATAAAAACCATGACACTGAAGTGCCAGGTCGTTGGTGTCACTTACTTAATTTACTCTGCTTAAATTACCAGATGCTGCATATGGGGTTACTCACTGTTGCACATTGCTGTAGGTGTATATTCACAACTTTCATTTCAGGGTCGTTTATAGTGTACTCAGCTCATCCCGTTTTTACTTCCACATCACATTTCCACACCATTATACTCGCGCTAGCTTTATAATTCTCCTTTCCTTTTTCCAGTTTCCCAGAAATCGGGCATTCCACGTCCCACGCATCCCACGCACGTTCGTCCCGTTTAACCCGTCAGATAACCAGCGTCAAATATTCCGAACCGAATAATCGTGGTCTCGTTGTGCTTTTCCCACTATTTCTGTGCTGGATCAGAAGTCTTCCAGCGGTCATTGCAAATCCATTCCCAACCATGTGTGCTAATTGCTCGTCTGGATTAACCGTTCTTTCTGTCGGTTTCCGGATCCGTGGAAACTATGTTCCAGACAGAGGTGCATCATCTTCGCTTGGGATATTTGCTATTGTAACTCTTATCAAATGACTATTGTTATTGTGTTCTCTCAGCTTGATTCTGACTGTGAGCCGTCGACTTTTTTCTCTTCCTTCTTTCATTGCGTAAAACCAACGGCACTTCTCTAGGCTGTGCGATACATTTGGATGCCCTCAATAGGTATGTCACATTCTGGTGCATTCTACTTACTCCATGCATTAGACCTCCTCCCAAAACACGTGAATCCGTCAGTCATAGTATTGTACCTGTCGGGTCAAGCTACCCGAGTCTATCTTAGCTTCACGTTTGTCTGGGAGGCGAATTTTACCCGCTTGATCGATTATCGAACTTGTATCATGCCCACGAGAATTTTGTTTCTATGCACATCATTCCACGAGCAGTATTATTGGTATTACCATTTTGGTTCTGCATTGTTCATCATTTGCTAATTTTGAAACAAAACGGGATGTTTTCATACAGCTCATTTCAACTCAACTATCCTGTCTTTTGACTAATTTTTTACAATCTGCCCGTATTTCCCGCACTACTGGATTGAACGTGACCTAACCGGTTTACTGTTAAGACATTCAAGGTGTTATCCGTTCTCCCGTAGTGAATGTACGTGAGAGGTTGCGACATGTTGGTGCAGTTCAATAAACCTGGAAAGTCCTCACCCCTTCCCGATTCTAGTCTCAAGCTGTCGCTTTTGGAAATTGGCAACGAAGGATTAACAAAAACTATGTTTGAATGCTCTCTACCCACTCCTGGAGATCCGGGGTTTTTGGGGTGCTAGATTGCCAGGGACCCCTACGAGGTTTTCGATTAGGATATCTTTGGAAATTATTAGCAAATCTGTCTTGCTTCGTTCTGCTTTGTAGTTCTTTACTAAGATCATCCTAATATTGGTGCTCACTTTCTTTGCATTTCTCTAAAACATCAGACTGCATTACGAAAGTCTACCTTTAACTGGAAGGTCGCATTAAACAGTGCGTCACCGTTAATGTCTATTGGTTACCTCCCCTATCAATCTTATAACCTCACCGAATTGGTGTCACTCTTACAAGGAGATTGTATAGTGCAGCGGGTCTAATATGGGCACCGTTGGTGAACGATTGGATAATGAGTGGGATGGGCTCAATGAAGGCCGAATCAAACAGCGTTTTGTCAACAGTTTGATTTTTTCAGTTCTTATAGTCCCAAATCAATGTGATGGTTTTCAAATCAATCTCTAACCTAGTTCACTGTATTTATTACCAAAAAAACTAACACCAGAGACAAATATATGAGCCGAATATCCCCAGATAGCCCAGGATATACTAGGTGAGCTTTCTTTTTTAGCGGGGGGAGGGGCAGGATTCACAATAAAGATATTCTGTTAACAAAAGTTTGATCTGCAAGACAGCGAAGCTGTGTTTACATACCGTACTCTATTGGGACCGGTGTCCAGTTCATCGGAGCATACGCCCTTTAGATGATGCCAAGCGTCCAAAATGCTCAACGGGGTCGTTTAGCACTACTAAAATCAAGGTACATGCCCGGTCCCTGCACCTCTTCTTGGTTAATTTGGAATCAAGCTTTTTAGCCAACTTCCATAGGTGCACTGCTAGTAGCTCACTGAGGCGGTGGTGGCCCGGTGGTAACGTCACCAATTATCACCCCGGAGGACGAGTGTTCGAA